ACATGCTTGCTCCTCTGGTAGATTAAACCCCGCCCCTCTAAGGAGGTCAGTGGGGGTGAAATTCAGGGAAATTGGAGTTGAGGCTACCCCTCCTCCTGTGACAATTCTCCCTCCGTGTCAACTTTGCAGGATCTGACTTGATTCTTACTAATGAAGCTCCTCGAAGATTCTGGTTTCCCATCTCTTCCATCCTGGTCTCTTTAAGAGGAACAAATTACAGGGTGTTTGGAATGGTCAGAACTATATTAGAGAAGGAAATATAACTCACAAAGAACAGAGTGGAACCTCACCTCCCTGATTTGGGATATAGCACCTCCAATAACAGAATTGAAAATGACGTTAACTTGTAGAAAATCTGTAATAGACTATGAACTCCCTAAAGGCAGGGATTGCCTTTTGCTCATCTCTATATTCCTGGCATATGACAGGCATTTAGTAAGTGGGGTTTTTTTGTTAAATAAATGGATCCCGGCAGTGACTCACACAGAGGATGCAGCTAATGAAAGCCCCGGGGCCTTTCTCCACTTGTGCTGTGGCCTAATCCTTACTTAGGCAGTTGGGTTTGGGACCACAGGGCAGGATGTAACATTTATCCCTATGAAATCCCACCTTGTTGAAAACAGTCCCTCTAGATCTTTTTGGCCAGCTCAGAGCAATGGGCCAAATCATGCTGGTAATGCCAGATCACAGTCTCAGCTCCAGCCCCTGAAGAATGCCTCATTCCTGCAAACTTGTTAGCCGGAGGGCCATACCAGCTGGCTGGCTCATGTACATCTGAGCTGAAAAATCAGCCTCAGGCTTGGCAAGCTCGGGGTGTAGATGGCCCCCTGCAGCCAGGCCCAACGCGAGGGCGATGAGTTTGCAAACTCCTGCCTTTTGTACCCGTCACCGCCTCTTGCTTGACCTCAAGAACCCCAGATATTTTGGCCAAGAGGATTCCCAAAGGTCTGTGGGTACCACAGGCCCTGAGCTCACTTGAGGAAGGAAGGGAACCCCATTTGGGACCCAGAACTACATATCTCACGGGACCCCATATAGGAATGTTAATCCCCATTTTCCAGGTAGGGAAAAAAGTGGGATAAGGTTAGGCTGTTAGAAACCCCAGGCCCAAGTGTGACCACTTTCCAGCCTTATATCCCTTCTAACTTCCTCTTAGAATCAAATCTGCTCCAAAATCAGGACCCTGCCCTACTCCTGTATCTAGCCTGGGTCTAGCAGTTAAAAATCATTGAACAATAAAAATAACAGCAACAACTTCATTTATTGAGCCCCTACTACGTGTCAGACACTGTTGTAAGTACTTTGCTTATATTATATCTAATGTCATATCACCCTGTGGGGAGAGGCAGTCACCTTCCTTTTCTGCACAAGGAAACTGAGGTCCAAAAAGGACGAGTGCCTTGTCCGAGGCCACACTTCTGGGAAGTGTCAGGCTCAGATTCAAACTCAGGTCTGTCTGAACTTAAAGGACACCTCTCTGACAGCTCAGAGATGTCAGCCGGACACATCTCAAACAGAAGCGTTCATTTACAAAGGATAATTCAGAGTGGCCTCTTCCATGGCAAGGAGACAGACACGGGGACTCGATGGATCTGTCCACTCCTCCCTGGGGACCAACACAGGCCTGGCCCAAGACCACAGGAGCGGAGGACCTTGGAAAGAGCCCCACTGACACCGCCTCCCTGTTTGAGAAGGTTCTGAACAAAGCCTTGGAATTTCCAAGAGTGGCTTTCCCGGCTGGAAGGAAGCCACTTGCCCCCGTGCATCCCAGCAGCTGGCTTATGGGAAGATGTTCGGACAGGTTGATCTTTCTCAGTAATTCATTCAAAAAATATTAGCCAAAAAAAAAAATATATTAGCCAGGGGCCTAAACTATTGGCACCTTTATCATTTCAAAACATCCTCCAGTCTGGGCCAGCATGAACAGCTGGACTTGGAGGTTACCGTGTTAATACTGGCACCAGAAGAGAACACAGCCTGTTAAATAACAGGGTGCGTGAGTCCTGGCTTGGGTGCAGTGCTGAGCCAGGCATTGGAGAGGGACGGATCTTGGGGTCATCCAAGCTCACCTCCAGCTGTAGCAGGGAACTTGAGCTCAGAGAGAGTGACAGAGATGGGATTTGAACTTGGGTCTTTGGGCTGCTTCTAGAATTACAGGATATCCACCTGCTAACCTGCTTGCCCATCTCTAGGGCTGACTTTATAATTGCTGGATGGGAATTGATCCACAAGGAGCAGCCAGGAGGTCTCAGCAGAGACAAAGCCCAGAAGGAGCCAGCCAAGCATCCCCTGGAGGGGTGCAGAGTAAGAACAGAAGCTGCCTCAGACCCTGAGATGTGGGACTGCACCGCTCCATTGTGCCAGCCGTAGACATCCTAGCCAGAAATGGAAATTCACTCGTATAACTTCCCCACCCCGTAGCCTGCCAGCCACGGTCTCCATAGCCTGGCCCCAACTTGCCTCTCCACCCTTATCTCTCCCGGCTCGCCCTTCAGCCAGTCTGCACTCCTAATCTCAGAGACGATCCCTCCTGCATTCTTGAACACCTAGTACACCTGCTCCCTTCCCCAGGCTTGTCCGCGCTCCCTCCGTCCCAAGGAGCTGAGTTCCAACCACACAGCTCACTTCCTCTGAGTCTTTCCTAAGCAGCCTCCCCTCAGGCCTTTAGAGTACATGACACCTCTCCCATCCATCTCACGCATCATCGCAAGGATGTGAATAAGAGGTGGCGGCTATCTTTACTAAGGCCGTACTTCATGCCAGGCCCTCCACAGCATTATCACATTGAGTCCTCACAACAACCCTCTGAGTTGAACACCATTGTTTCCATTTGACAGATGAGGAAACAGAGGCTTGGAGAGGTACCCAATGTCACACAGCTAGAAGCTGGAACCCAGGACTCCACAGCCAGGGCTTCTGATCTCTAGGTGCCAACCCCGCCTCCCACCAGCACAGGCTGCCTCACTTTGTTAGCTCCTGCCGGTGGAGTTGGGGGTTCTGCTGTTCCTGGGTAGGCATTAGGTCTCTGAGGGCTTGAACCATTTCATTCATTTTTTTCATTCAACAGAAGTTTGTCAGGCACCTTCTACCACATTGCCAGGATCTAGCCCTTATCTTGGGCATTAGAAATACAGGCATGAAAAAGCCACAGTCTCTGCTCTCAATGTGCCCCCGTCTGTTTGGAAGACAGACTCACAAAGAGAAAAATGACTCAACAACTCAGGATGGGTGATGTGCAGGGCTAGCAAGCCTAGGAGAGGGAGCTTCTGGCCAACTTCACCTAAAAATTGGAACGTGTGACAAATGTGCTGTGTTTGGTGCCCTGGGCGCCTGGTACAGACTACCTTGCATACAGCAGGCACTCTCAGTTGGTGGCGGTGGCCAAGTGAGCGGACAGTGTCAGTGAAAGCCCCAGAATATCCATCTAGCTGATGTGTTCAATTGGCCATCTGGGGTGCTTTTAGTTTCAACAGATACTTATAACAATGGAAATGATGTGTAGTGCATGACAATGAAGCCCTTAGATGACTAGAGCTCCTGGCAGGCAGACGTGGTGGTTAATACATCTAGGTGACCCCTGCAGAGCCTAGCACTGTAGCTCATGCCAAGAGGAACCCAATCAGTATTGCTGATTAATGACAGAACCTTCTGCTGTCTAGGGACACGCAGCCTCGGACAGTCATGCAGGACATGCTAGACAGAGTGTCCTAGGTTTTCTTAGTCTGTCTTTCATTCCTCATCTCCCTGTCTGCTAAAAATACAGAGAACCTGCATTTCCTCCCTCCTTGAGTCCAAAGGGCCAGAATGCTTAAACCTGACCAGAAACTCTTGAGAAGCTGCAGCAGTCAAACGAGGAAAAGTTTCACCTCTGGATCATCTGTTTTCCATTCCTCACCCAAAGCAAGTGTCCAGAGTACACACTGAAGCAATCAGCAGGGGCCCAGACCCTATGGAACAAGGTCATGAGCTTTCCCTCCAGCTCCAAACCCTCACCCTACCTCCCTCTGACCCCCTGGAGTCCTGAGCCAGAGCCCCTGCCAGGCAGATGGCCCAGTGGATAGAAAAGTGTTTCGGTTGCTGGTGGCCACCCCTTTGCCGACTTCTTCCTCTGGGTCATTTTCCCAGGCTCTCTACAGGGTACTCCTGAGCTCATCCCAGCAAAGGGGGCAGGTCTGGGGTGGTTTGGGCAAAAGCTCTCCGGAAGGAGTTAGGGCTTTAGGCCCCAGTATCCTGCCCCCTGGGCTGCTTCCCCCAGGACTCTGCCCCCTGAGTAGGCTATAGTTGATTTCAAGGCTCTCATCCCAGGGCAGACAGTAATTGGTCACCCAGCAGGGGGAGGGGGAGAGAGCCTGGTTGCTGGACTGGGGTCTCCTCCAGGCCTTCCTCCCACTCCACCCTGCAACGTGGCCAGGACCCCAGGAGGTAGAGGCTTCATCCCAATCACCCAGGCCTCCTGTCTCAAGGACCAGGCCAGTTCTTGGTACCCACTGATGCAATCCCGCCTAGGCTGTGTGCTCTGGTCCCTCCAGCCAAAGGACCACCAACCCGAGAGTGGAGTTCTCTCTGCCACTAGCTTCTCTTTATGCGTCTCTGTTCCAGGGTTTCTGTCCCCAAGGGAGCAGGGCCTCCCAAGTGACTTCAGGGTACCCAAGTCCTTTATCACACCTGGAGTGCTGGAGTTGGGGTCACCGTGGGCACTTTTGGCGCCCAGTCAAGAGCTCTCCACCTCCCTTCCTGTGGACCATCAAAAAGTCAGAGTTCCTCACCCACCCTGGTCCTTCCACGCATGCTCCTATCACCGTCCAAAGTCATGCCTCGATTTCCCTGTTCCACAGGGGACTCCTTTTTCCGTGAGCCCTATCCAGTCCCTTCCTGCGTCCCAGACTTGCCCTTCTGCCTCCTCTTCTCCTCCCGTGTGTATCCCAGCTCCTCTCCCGGCCACCGCTGTGGACTTCAGGTAGCCTCCCAAGTACAAACCCCCAGCCCGACAGGGGGCTCACCTCCGCCGTTCTTGTAGCAGAGATAGGGGAAGCGCCACACGTTGGCCAGGTCTACGGCGAAGCCGACCACCGACAGCAGAAAGTCGATTTTCTTGCCCCAGGTCTCCCGGGGCTGCTCGTCGCCGTCGCGGGATGCCAGGAGGCACTGGACGCCGTTGCGCTCTTTCACCACCAAGAGTTCTGCAGCTTTGCGCTTCCGCTGGGGCTGCTCCGACCCCGGGCCCGCCCCGCTGTTCTCAGGCTGCACCTGTGGGTTCATCCGCGCCAGAAGCATGGGTGCGGCTGGCGAGAGGGGAGTCGGCGATACTGGGAGTACGCCGAGGCTCTGCTGGAATCAAAGGAAAAGATGCGGTCACTGGGCCCTTCCACCCTGCCTGCGCCTCCCGAGGCTTCCCGGGAGCGCCGGGATACTGTGGTCGGCGCGCACTGAGCGGACGCAAGGTTCCTAGAAAAGGGCGCGCGTCTGTTGGAAAAATTTGGAAGCAGAGGTAGTGGGGCGCCCGACTGGGACGGCACTTCGAGGTGGAGACCACCCCTGCCGCCCTAGGGATCCTGCTAGGCACCCCGCAGCTCTTCCCTCATTCACCCGCTCTCTCTTGTCCCCAAACGGCGGAGTTTGGACACGTCCAGGCAGAGGTTTCCCAGGGCGGTGACCCGGCCGGGTGCAGCTGGCTGCCCCCTACCCTCGGCTCGGGTCTGAGCCACGTCCGAGAGCCCCAGGGGTCTCCCCGGACACTTATTACCTCTGCACTTCAAACTCGCTGGCACCCTACCTCTGCGCATCCCAACCTGGGCCTCCCCGGCACACCTAGCTCGGTTCCGCGCGCAGGGCGCACTCACGTGTTCGGCGGCGACGGGATCCCGGCTGCCGTGCGCCCTGCCTTGCCTGCTCCGGACCCGCCTCGCCTCGCCTCGCCTCGCCTCGCCAGGCTGTGGGGCGCGGGCTGGGGCTGGTCTCCGCCGCGTGGCGCTCGGGCGCGGCCTGAGGAGCGCTGAAAGCGCGGGGCGGCCGGCGGGGCGCAGGCTGGCTGGTTCTGACCGAGCCGGGCGGGGGCCGGGCTGGTAATGTAGCCTGCGCCCCAGGTAACGCGCCGATTGCATTAACCCAGCGCCGGGCCCGCTCTGTCTGGAGCCTGTTAGCGCTAATGGAGACTGACAGCGCGGCCGGGGATGGGCAGGGGCGGGAGCGCGGCGCGGGCTCGGGGGACGGCGGGAGTCCCGCTCCCGGCGACTCACGGGACCCGGGCGCCCATTCCCGTTGCAGCACGCACTGGGACACCAGACTCAGCTCCTGGGGGCACCAGGCTCTGACCTCTGACTACGGGAAGAGAGCGAGACTCTCAGAAATAGTATCTGAGTCGCGGGGACGGGGTAAAGACTGGGGAGATCAACGACGGTTCAGTACCAGCTCTGTCATCCGCCGCAGGCCCTTAAACCACCTGGCCAGAGTTTCTCCCACAACAAAATGGGAATGTTCTGTTCAGTGCCTAGGAAGGCACACTGAGGGCCTGCAGGCCATTGGGTGGGTTTTGTTTAGCTGGCTCGAATTGAAAGGTCACAACTGGGCACTTACTCCTTCGTCTGTTTGTTATGGGCAGGCTAGCAAGGGATTTGAGGTTGTGACCCCTGTTGTATGAGGCTTAGAGTCGCTATTCATTCATTTATTCACCCATTCATGCACCCCTTTGCTCACGTGTTCCTACATATGCCTTTTACGTGCCAGGCACTGTTCTAGGCTCTTGAGACACATTAGTGGACAACTCAGTCAAAAATCCCTTGAAAAAAAAAAAATCCCTGACACGATGGTGTTTACAATCTGTCATGGGGAGTCAGGGGAAAACAAGAGACATAACAAGTAAACCCATTATTATACAGTATATCAGAAGGTGGTCTGTACTATGAGAGGATGGGGAGTGCTGTGGGGGGAGGGTGCAGTTGCAGTGTGACCAGGGAGCTTGAGAAGGCGAGTTTAAACAAGTAAAGGAGTGAGCCATTTGGACCTGATATTTGTTCATTCGTTTACCTGTTGGTTAATTTACTCGTTCATCAGTAGATGCTGATCACCTGCTATATGCCTGAAGCGTGCTGGCTGGTGGAGCTATGGAGATAGTCCCTGGCTTTAAGGAGCTCTCAGTCCAGTGTGTAAAGAGTTGATCACAAATCAGCGTGGTCAGAATTAGTTGTGACCACAAGGGTGTGGAAATTGGGCGCAGCTGAATTAGCGAGTAAGGGGTGGGGTGGTGATCCAAGAAGGCCTCACAGGAGTGACAACTCTTAAGCAGGATAGGTAGGAGTTTGAATAAGCCCAGGCACACCGACCTTTCTTTTGTTTAAACATTCCAAGCTCAAACCCACCTCAGGACCTTTACACTTGCTGTTTCCTCTGCCTGAGTTGTTCAGGTCTCAGTTCAGTGGTCCCTTCCTGACCACTCAAATTTAAAGTGTATGCCCACTCTCTATCACATCACCCTATCATCCTGTTTTATTCCTTTCATTACATCACTATCCAAATTTTAAAATTTGTTTATCTATTATATGTCTCCTCTTGGTGGCTTATGAGCTCCATGAGGGCAGGGATCTTGGCTGTCCTATACACTACCATATTCCTAATATCTGAATGAATTAATGGTGGTGCATGAGGGTGTTTAGAGCATTTTCATCAGGGTGACCAGCATGACAGATGTCCTCTGTGAAGGATGCAGAGAGAAGAGAAAGGGAAAAATAGTGGGGTGGTGGGTCAGCCTTGGCCTTCTGGAGGCTGATGGTCAGAGAAAGGAGGAGGTTTCAGGAGGAAAGCCTGGAACCACACCCATCAAGGACGTTCATCTCCTCTGACCCGTGGACAATTTTGATAAGCCTGTGAGGAAAGCAGGAATGGAATCATCTTTCCAATCTGGGGGTCAGGAAACTGTGGCTGTGAAGTCTCACAGGTTGGAAGTGACAGAGTTGAAATGAGAACCCAGGTCTCCTGGCTCCCAGCCTGTGTCTCCTCCACCAGCTTATGGATGGAGACACGCAGAATCTCTCTGGGAGTCATCTTCCCCTCCTCTCTTCTACCCCATGTCCCATCCAACTGGTCCTGAGAATCCCACCTTTAAGTCTGCTACGAAGCCTCATTCCCACTGCTGCAGCATCCCCACAGAGGGTCCCCACCCATCGCCTTCCACTGCAGCAGCCTCCTTGCTGGTTACCCTGTGTCGGGTATCTTTCCAGCCACATGATATTCACCAGCTGCCAGAGCCTTTTCTAAAACTCATCTGATCACCTCACTCTTCTGCATAAAACTCCTCTGAGAGACAACAACACATCAACGTGATTTAATTAACCCTGAATTTGAGGTAATTTTATTTTCTTCTTTATACTTCTCTTTATCTGACAACTTTTCTACAATGAGCATTTGATACTTATGCAATCAGAAAAAAGATAATTTCTTAAAATCTTCCAATCTTTCCGAGATAATATCAAAACACCTTCAGCTGTACAGACAAGATTCTGCCTGCCTATTTAACCACATCTCTTGCTATTCCAATTCTCTCCTCATTCTTCTTAAAATTCCTTTACCATCTCCAAATTGTGCTTTATTCTCCAGCAACATGAGAGATACTCAACTATTAATAGTTCCTTGGACACCTTGTGCCTTTTTACACTTGTGGATTTTTAAGTAGGCTGTCCATCTTCCTCTTGTCTACCTGGAGAACTCCTATTCATCCTTTAAAATCTCAGATGTCACCTCCACTGTAAAGCCTTCCCTGATAACCACCTCCCACAATAGAGTAAACTCCCCCTTTATACTGCTTTGTATTTTTGCCTAGTACTTTATCTGTGTGACTTCCCTACTAGGGAAAAGGACAGTACCTGATATATCCTGTTACATAGCTTGCACTCCAGAAATGTGTACACAACAGAACTAGGAGAGATCTCAATTGTTGGCTGGGTTTGGTGTCTTTGGTTGGGGTTTTTTCTGTTGGTTCTTCCAGAAACAGAACCTGAAACAAAGAATTGAATTCAAGAAGTTTATTTAGGAGGGGATACTGGAAGCACTGATAGAGGAGGGGGGAGGTAAGAAAGGGAAGGAACCCAACAGAGGGGACGTTAAAAAGCAGTTACTACCAAATATAAAATCGATAGCTAGTGGGAAGCAGCCACATAGCACAGGGAGATCAGCTCGGTGCTTTGTGACCACCTAGAGGGATGGGATAAGGAGGGTGGGAGGGAGACGCAAGAGGGAGGAGATATGGGGATATATGTATATGTATGGCTGATTCACCTGGTTATAAAGCAGAAACTAACACACCATTTGTAGAGTAATTATACTCCAATAAATATGTTAAAAAAAAAAAAGCAGTTATGGCTGTGGGCAGCTGTTGGTCAGTCCTGCTGGGAACTTCTGGGAGACAGCATTGACCATGCCTCGGAGTTGTCCCATCCCTGGGCAAGGAAGCTGGAGTATTTATCCATGAAGGCTGCTCCCTTCAGCCTTCCCTGGAAGGGTGCTAACTTCCCAGCATTCCCAGCCTGTCTGGTGTGTGGGCTGAGCGAGCTCCTGTTGCCAGAAAAAGTCTCCCATCAGAGTCCCAGGTACGGGCAGTAGGAAGCTTGTGGGTCAGGTCTGCATTGGCAGGAATAGCGGATGATGAGTGGTGTTGGTGAGGCAGTGGAAGCGTTCACTACTGAGATGGAGGGAGACACACTCCCATACATGCACATCACTGGAGGGGCCGCCAGCAAGTCCTGAGGGTTCCACTTTGTGGTTTCAGAGACTTCTGGAGGACAGCAGTGAGGATACCAGCCCGCGGCTGTGCTGAAGGGGAAGACATCTCTCTCCATCTCTGGCCCAGACTCCCTGCCCTCAGTTCCAAGAGCCATGGGGCCATGTGGCTTCTCTCTGTGCCCTGCCTCCTGCCCCTCCAGGTGGCCTGAGGGCAAGTGGGTGGGCAGGCGACTGGAACATTATCAGAGCTAACGGGATCCCTGGGGAGGCGTCACTTCCACTTACCACGGCACTTGGTGACACAGGCCATGGGCACAAGGTGATGGCTGGTGCTGTCAGCCCAGCTCTGGCCATCTCCCTGCAGACACCAAGACCCTGACACACAAAGGCTGGTCTGGAGGTTATTTGGAATCCAAGTGGCTCAGTCCTGGAAGTGTCCTGAGGATACTATCAGAACCTGCACCTCTATTGCACTGATGAGGAAAATAAGGCCAGAGAGGAGGAGAGGTTCGCCTGTACATTTCCTCCCTTCCTTCTTTCCTCCTTCGCTCCTTCCTTCCCATCTTCCTTCTCTCTCTCTCTCTTTCTTTCTGTTTCTTTTTTTTTCATCTTTTGATCAGGGGCATTAGACTGATGTCCCTGCCACTGACCTGCCCTGCGTCATTGGTCATGGGTATAGGTTAAACTGCATTTACAAATAGCAAAAAAGTGTCCTCAGTAAAAGACCCCTAGGAGCTGAAATCAGTCTCCTTCAGGACACCTCCCACTAAAGTCCCCCAGGTGTCCCTGAGGCTTCCAACCTACCCCGATGGGACTCATCTGGGTTAGAAGAGTCTAAGGACTCTTCTCTAAGGAGCTCCTACCCCACCTGGGACTACATCCGGGCACAGGCATTAAAGAGCGTCTATCCATCATTGACGATGGATACAACCATTTACATCCCCTGACTGGATCTAAATACAGACCGACATCTCCACACAGGTAATAAACGGCACCTGGAACTCCCGTGTCCAAGATAGAATTCTTGGTGACCCCTTGCTGACCTGCATGCACACCTGTTCCTCCTCACCTCCCTCATTCCAGGCGATGGCATATTTTTCCTTGTAGATCCTCAGAGGCCAAAAACCTTGGAGTCCTCTTTCTCACGTTCCCACAACCAATCCTACTGCAAACTCTGTTGGCTCCGAATCAGATCCCACCTCCACACCTCCAAGGTCGCCACCCTGTTCCAGGCTATGTCATCCCTCACCTGGATTACTGTGGCAGCCTCTGAATGGCCTCCCTCACTTCTCCCTTTGCCCCCTGAACTTTAAGCTCTACACAGCCACCAGGAAGACCTTTTGGAAGCGAGTTCAGATCCTATTCCTCCCTCTCTCCAATGGCTCCCATCTCATTCAGAATAGAATCTGAAGCCCTTCCACGGGTGAGATGGATGAATGAGTAAACCATCCTTTTGTGGATTTGCCAACACAAGCCTGGCCAAGCCTCGTGACCCTCTATGGGATGGACAGAGGCACTGGCAGGTGGGGTGGCAGAAAAAGCACAAGGCTGGGAGTCAGCACCCTGGGTTCTGACTGCTGCTCTGCTGCTTTCGGGCTTTTTGGTGACGGCCAAGTCCATCAGCAAGATGGGGAGGGGCAGTAGGAAGAAGAAAGACAGAAGTTATGTCAGGACTGGAACTGCAGGAGAAAGGAAAGGAGATGTTCGAGGCAAAGGAACTCAGTCTCCTGGGAGGAAAGGAGGACCTCCCTCTTCTGCATGAGCCACCACATACATCCTTTGGCCTGAGGTGGTCACGTGAGTTATGGGGACAGAGGACTCACACCTGGTTTATGTCCTGTTCCAAGGCAGAGGGGGGTTGAGGTCAGCTGACCAGGATGAGCCGTAATCAGGCTGACACAAGGCCTCTGTCCATCATGGGGATGAATATCAGAGCAGGATGGGACCACAGAAACCTTCATGCCCAGGTGTACTCTGTTAGAAGACCAGACACTCCTTAGATAACCCGATGAATGTGGACTCTCCCAGAAATATGCACGCACACATGGTATTTTAAAATTTAGTGTGAAATTTCTCATACATAAGAAAAAGTGTATAAAAATATACGAACAATTTATAGTTTAAGTATCAATAATATGAACATACAAGAACCCACCCTGTTGGATTAAGAAATAGACCATTTCCGATACCCTATGAGCCCCTGTGTGCCCCACTCCAAGGTAACCACTTTCCTGTATTTAGCAACTCATCAATTTCTTTGTTTTTCTTCACAGTATTGTCACCTATGAATCTATTCCTAACAATATATTGTTTAGTTTTGTCCTTCTTTGAACTTTATCTAAAAGGAATCATACTACAGATACTGTTCTGTGACTCCTTTGGCTTGAATACAGTATTTTTGAGATTCATCCATGATGATGGAGTTAGCTGTAGTTCACTCATTTTCACTGTTGTATATATTCATTCTATTGTCTGAATTATAACAATTTGTTTATTCATTCAGCTATTGAAGGACATTTGGATTGTTTCTAGTTTTTTAAATATTTTGAACAATGCTGCCTAGAAACTTTTGTACAGACAGCTCCTACGCCCATGTGCAAGTTTCTCTAGGCTCTATACTTAGTGAAGTGCTGGTGTGCAGAGTATGTGTTTGTTCAGCTTTATCAAATAATGTCAAACTATTTTCTAAAGTGGTACCAGCTGAAACTCTAACACTGTTATTTCTTCATTTCCAATTTCTTTACATCCTCGCCAACCCTTGGCATTATCTGGCTTTTATTTTTTACCAATCTTTAAGATGTGATTTTGGGAATTCCCTGGTGGACCAGTGGTTAAGACTTCGCACTTTCACTGCAGTGGCCCAGGTTCAATCCCTGGTCAGGGAACGAAGATACTGCAAGCCGCACGGCGCAGCCAAAAAACAAAAAAAAAGATGTGATTTTAACATGCATTTCTCTGACTTCCAATGACCTGGACCATCTTTTCACATACGTGTGGGTCATTTGTGTTTCTTTTTTTCTGTGACATGATGACATGTTGTCTGTACAATTTTGTGTTGGCTTGTTTTTTCTTATTGATTCACAGTAGTTCTTAATATACTGGGCCCAAATCTTTGTCACTTACGTTGCAAACATCTTGTCTTGGTTGTGTAAGTCTTTTTTCTCTATATGGTGATTTTGATAGAGGTTATTCATTTTAATGTATTTTAATGCAGCAGTGCATTAAAATACATTATGTATTTATTTCAGAAACACTTCCCTACCTGATATTTTCCTAAACTATAAATTTTGATAGTTTTTCCCTTCATATTTATATCGTTAATCCACATGGAGTTGATTTTGTGTAGGGTGTGAGGTAGGGATTCCACTTCACTATTTTTCATATGAATCACTGATAAACTGTTGTGGCCCATTCATTAAGCACTTCTATCTTTTCTGCTCTGATTGGCAGAGAATGCTCACTCACCAACCAAGTCTCCTTGTACAGTTGCGTTTGTTTCTGGGCTCTTCATTCTGCCCCATTGGTCGGTTTTCTGTGTCCAAGCAATACCACATTGTCTGAATTAACATTGTTTTCCAGGTACAAATTTTCAGTCATAAGGTGACTAAGTTCTAGGGCTCTAAAGTATGGCATGGTGACTATAGCTAACAACACTCTATTGTATATTTGAAATATGCAGAGAGTAGATCTTACATATTTCATCGCACACACACAAAAGGTAACTATGTGAGGTGATGGATGTGTCAATTAACTTAATTATGGTAACCATATCATGTTGTATATGTATATCAAACCATCACATTGTACACTTTAAATATATACAACTTTTTGTGAATTATACCCCAATAAAGCTGGGAAAACAAACAAACAACTTTGCCACATAATAAGTTTTTCCATCTCATGGGGCAAGACTCTCCAGCTCTTTTTCTTTGGAAGTGTCTTGGCAAACTCTTCTCTGCAAATTTCAGAATCAGCTTGCTGAGTTCCATGAAAAATCCCATCGGAATTTCAACTGTGATTACATTGAATCTATAGATCAATTTGGGGAGAATTGACATTTTTTTTACAGTATTCAGTATTCCTATCCAAGATAAGTATTCCTTATCTCTGTGTATTTGTCATTTTTAATGTACACAGCATTTTAAATAGAGGTTTAAGGGACTTGCAGATTCCTGCATGGACTCCATCTCAGAATCCCTGACATGACTGCCCACTAGTCCCTGTGCTCTGTTTTCTTTTCCATCAGGAAACATTCCCCAGTGGTGTCACTAGTCATACATAATACGTACACATACAGCTACCTTCCCACCCCCTCCCCGCTTGTCTCTCTGGCCCTCTGATATCTATTCCTCGGAAACTTACCAAGTTAACCTTTTTCTGCAGTCTGGAGAGGGAGAATGGGTAAAAGCAGGAACTTAGGAGCCATATTGCATGAATTTTAATCTTGTCTCCACACTTACTATCTGTGAAATCTTGGTCAAGTTCTCCTTGTCTCAGTTTCCTCGTCTGTAAAATGGATAAGATGGTGATGCCAAATAGGACTTACCTCATAGAACTGTTGAGAGGATTAAATGAATAAATACATGCAAAGCACTTAGAACAGTGCCCGGTATAGCGTATGTGTTACTGCTTCTTGCTGTTGTTTCAAAAATTTTAATGTCTCCACATCTGTGGGAGGCGGGGATCATCTTCAGAATTTTAAGTTAGGTCTATCTGACTTCAAATTCCGAGGCTGGGGGACTTCCCTGGTGGTCCAGTGGTAAAGAATCTGCCTTACAATGCAGGAGATGCGGGTTCCATGCCTGGTCAGGGAACTAAGATCCCACATACTGTGGGGCAACCCGCACACGGCAACTACTGAGCTAGCGCGCCTCATCTAGAGCCCGCCATACTGCAAACGCTCTGGAACCCGCGCACTACAACTACAGAGCCCACACACCTTGGAGCCTGTGCGCCACAACTAGAGAAGAGGAAAAACCCGTGCACCACAACTAGAGAGAAGCCTGCGCACGACAGGGAAGAACTTGCGCGCTGCAACGAAAGATCCCACGTGCCTCAACTAAGACCCAACGCAGCCAAAAGAAAAAAAAAAAAATTCCGAGACTGGGATGAAGTAGCAAATATGGGTTGGTATAACAACTATGAGTGTGGATCTGGAGTTTAAAAACAAAAAGCTGGGTGGGTTCAAAACTTGCTTCACCATTTACCTGCTGAGTGACTTTGGTTTCTGAGCCTCAGGTTTCCCACCTGTAAGATGGGGATAACACAGCTATTAAATAAAACAATCAATGGGAAAGACTTGGTAACACTACAGGAAGGGACTCATTTATCAACGCTCTGTGACGTCAGTTACAGTCATGTCCTTGAAAGTAATCTGCTTCTTCCTAGAATTCTGTTGCCTCTTTGCCACTTTCCCAGTTCGCATTAGTCTAGCAGATTGTTCAAAGTGCAGATTCCTGGGCCGGCCCCAGAAATTTAGATTCAGTGGATCTGCATCTGCCTGTCTGTGGCATGTTTAATTCCTGTTTAAAAAAAATATAATTCCAGTATTAGTGATATGTTTCATAAGCACAGTCCCAGTTTGAGAGTGGCTATAGCGATTCACACTGGCTTTGCCCTACCTGAGTGCCGTCTTTCCCGAGCACTGGGGCTTCTTCCATTTGCTCTGGCTACACTTAGCAAAAAACTCGCAACCACTTCCTGGCCGAGCTGTCTTCTCCCTGGGAGGGGTGAACGGGTGCCCTCTAGGGCATGGAAGGAGAAGAGCTGCTTCCTGCTCACTGTCTAAGGGACAGTTGTAGAGGTACCAGGAGCAGCCATAGAACCCCCAGAGCAGGTGTGTGGGATGGGCAAGGGGATGGAGGTTGGAACTGCACCCTCATCAAGGTGATTGTCAGGAGGCCTCAGCCCAAGGAAGCCAAGGGCTGTGGGATCTGCCCCCAGCCTGGGCTGGTCCTGCTCCGCCCTCGTGCCCAGGAACCTGAATCTAATAAGCCACTTAGTGACGGCAGCACAAGCAGTAGCCACACTCTGTGCACCACAGACAGAAAACACCAGCCTGAGGCACGCCCTTACGAAGCCCGTCTCCTCCTCTGCCTGTACCCTTGACCCCCAAGATGAAAGCTGAGTGGTTTTAGGGCAAGGGCAGGGGAACTAGAGAGCAGGGCTCAGGGTAGTGATTTTCTGCCCCTCTTTATGGTAAACACCATCACCCTCCCCTCCTAGTTTCTCGGGAGACCCCTGACACACTGGCCTCCTTTATGTGACAAGCAGGCAGAGTGGCACTCAACTTTCATACTAACTGCTTGGGGCTTCAAATCCTGGCTCTGTTGCTTACTAGTTGTGTCAGCCTGGGCTGATGCGTGCCTCAGTGTTCTATACAATGGTGCTCATCATAGTAGTTATCTCACAGGGTACTCGTAAGGCTTAAATGCATCATGACTGCTAAATGCTTCGTGTTGGGCACATACTAAATTCACAAAAGACATTTGCTATATATTTGGCAGTCTTTCCATTCATTGGTTTTAGGTACCACGCTAAGTATTATTTCATATAATACTCACTATTATTATCCCCATTTTACAGATTAAAGAATTAATGGTATTAACCAATAAAATTTTAAAAAATTTTCCAAAAAGAACAATAATGGTGAAAGTGGTTAAATGCCTTGCCCAGGGTCACATGGGTAGGATGGGACAGAGGGTGGGATTTGAACCTAGAACTAGGCTGGCTCCAGGGCACATGTTCTTAACCATTGTTCTATCCTGGTGGCTCAGGGTCTCCCTCTTTGGTCCCCACCTTCTTCATCCTCCTCACCTTCTCACCTTCCCCCTTCCCCACTCAAGCTTCCCATTCTCAGCAGGGCTCCTCTCGCTTTTTGCCTGGGAACCCGGAGTCTGTGGCTGATGCAGTTCTGAACCCCAGCATTGTCTGTTTGCAGCCACCATCTTCTCTGGCCCTTTCTCCTCAGAGCTGGAGTCCTTCCCTCTCCAAGGCTTACCTCCTCTCCACTCCAGTCCCTTATGTCCCCCCACCTCTGGGACCTGCCCCAACACCATCCTGTTTCTCTTCTACTTCTCTTCTCTCCTCCCCTTCCCTCTGTCCTACCCAGGTCTTCTCCACCTGATGGCATCCCCCCTCCTTAGAGCTGTATCACGCTCCTTTCCCTTCCTCCCAGGTAACTCGAAGGAGAACCCCCCACTCACAGCTTCCGTGCCTCACCCCCAACTCCCAGGGTCACACAGAACAAGCGCTCAGACTCTGACTCGTGACGTGTGGTCCAGGGCTCTTCCCACATGCCACATCTTCTCTGTGGAGCATTTATCAGACTAGGTAGTCTGGGCACACCCTGAAGGGATGAAACAAGGGACCGGGAAGCTGAGATGAGGAGGCTGGCAAGACTTTGAGGTCTTGGTGGAGGAGGGTCCAGGCTGGGCAGAATTCTGGGTGACAGAGTCGAACACAGGTCATCATTAGGTCATCCCTGCTTATTCCAGGGGACAAAGAAATGCACATACTAACCCTCCAATGCACTGCTTTCCTTGTGAGGAGACCAGGTAGCCAGTTCATACTGCCCAGGCATAGATGGGGGCTGTTGAGTTGAAGTCAGTGCAGACACTCGGACACCCCCGCAAATATACTGCATATTTCTGCTTGCGTGTGTGCCGGGGAGTATGAGGAGAGGGGGTGGTAAAGGGGCTTGTGGCCTTAGGAGACTGAGGGACAGACCTGCTGTCCTCATGGGGGGACATGCAGTCAGAGAGGGGAGGTGGCAGTTATACTCTCTGTGACCAAAGAGCAGGATCAAAGCCCATAAACACACACTGCAGGGAGTCAGCCCCCAGCTCCCCGGAGCACAGGAGGGGGCTTAAAGAGCTGTACCGGGGTGGACGAGGCCCCCCTCCCAGGCATGAGGGCCTGGCTCCCAGAGGCGTCCAGGCTGAGCCCCAGCGTGAGAACAAATCACATGGTGGGGATTGTTTGCCTGACAGTTTTCCAGGCACTCATGAGGCCTGGGAAGGGGGTCGCAGGAGGAAGGGGGCTCTTCCTCAAGGCTTTCCCAATTTTGCCAATCATTGCTAATCATTTTACTAATAATAATCCCTCCACTTTTGCCTCCCTGTCTCCCAGCCCACTCCTAACAAGACCTACTCCACTCCCCAAACCACTTAGAAGGCAGGACAGCCAGGGCTTAGAGGGACCTCGCTACCCTTTCCTGAAGTAGGGCAGCACAATGGGTCGTGAGATGTTGATGATTTAGGCCCATGCAGCCCCTGCTTTAATTGGCTTTGCCTCATATAGGAAGAAAGTGTGACCCCCTTCCCACTGTAATAGAGAAGAACAAATCTGACTCCATATTAGATCTGTTTCTTCTGTTTTAACCTTTGTATTCTATTGCTTTTGCTTCCAGTTAAGAATGTTGCCTATAGCCTGAAATATACAGCACAGCCCATTCTCAAGGCCGTGACCTTTAAGGGTATAATACTTTCCCGTTCATATAGAGATAAAAAGTTGCAGAACAGAGAGAATAACATTTTCTTCCTTGGAGGTTTACAGGAACATCCTGACCTGACCTACATGGACAGCTACAAGAACAAACGATTCTGACACCAAGAAGTTTGCAAGAACAAGCCACGCTCCTCCCTCACCTTGTCTTTAAAAATGCTTTGCTGAAACCCTTCGAGGAGTTTGGGGTCTTTTCAGGCATGAGCCACCTGTTCTCCTTGCATGGCCCTGCAATAAACCTTTCTCTGATCCAAACTCCAACATTTCATTTGGTAACACCATGTCCTTTTAACCCTGACTATTGAAGTAACACCTCTCTCTCCTTCACTGATCCCCATTTCAACAGAGGGAAGCCGGGCTCAGGATCAGACCCTTCTAGCCCAAACAGTGTCAAAGTACAATTGAATAACAGCATTTCATCTCATTGAATATCTATTGTTACGCTTACCATCTATTTATAGCATGTGGTAGTGGTTTTTGATTTCTGATATTATATAAAGTTTCTTTCATTATTTATTACTTAATGATTTTAAACTTATGACATATCTCAGACTTACATAAAATTATAGACACTCCTATAACAAACAACTAACTAACTTAAGAAATAAAAACATTAGAAATATGGTCAAAGTTCCTGAGTCTCTTTCCCAATTGTATTCCTCTCCCTCCCACCTGCCCTGGCCTGCCGCCATCCTTATATAATGTTGATTATTCCCAAGCATGTATCCATGTTTTCACTAGACGGATGATAGATTGATATGTAGATGGATGGATGGATGGATAAAGACAGAGATAGATATAGGGATATATAACTAAAATTGTATGTGTATACTCCTAAAATTATCTTACATATATGTGTGTGTGTCTATGAGGCTTAACACACACAGAAAAATACAGAAAAGTGCAATAATTACTAGTGCACTTTTTACATAATGAATATACTTAAAAAAAAATGACCAGCACCCCAGAATTCCCCTTTGTACCCCCTCTCCGTCACCATCTCCTCCCTCCTCCCCTCTAATGTCATGGACTAGTTTTGCCTGTCTAAACAACAGAAAGTATCGTTTTGCTTTTTTTTTTTTAGTTTCTGCTTTTTAGCAAAGTGAATCAGCTATACATATACATATATCCCCATATCTCCTCCCTCTTGCGTCTCCCTCTCACCCTCCCTATCCCACCCCTCTAGGTGGTCACGTAGCACCGAGCTGATCTCCCTGTGCTACGTGGCTGCTTCCCACTAGCTATCTATTTTACATTTGGTAGTGTATATATGTCCATGCCACTCTCTCACTTTGTCCCAGCTTACACTTCCCACTCCCTGTGTCCTCAAGTCCATTCTCTACATCTGCATCTTTATTCCTGTCCTGCCCCTAGGTTCTTCAGAACCATTTTTTTTTTTTGTTAGCTGATTTTCCATGAATGGTTGCTAATATAGGTTCTAGCTCAAGAACAAACATTTTAGAACCAATTATATCTTTTTTTTTCTTTTTCTTTTTAGATTCCACATATATGTGTTAGCATACGGTATTTGTTTTTCTCTTTCTGACTTACTTCACTCTGTATGACAGACTCTAGGTCCATCCACCTCACTACAAATAACTTTGTAGCTTTTTATGGCTGACTAATATTGCATTGTATATATGTGCCACATCTTCTTTAACCATTCATCTGTGGATGGACACTTAGGTTGCATCCATGTCCTGGCTATTGTAAATGGAGCTGCAGTGAACATTGTGGTACATGACTCTTTTTTTTTTTTTTTTTTCGGTACGCGGGCCTCTCACTGTTGTGGCCTCTCCCGTTGCGGAGCACAGGCTCCGGACGTGCAGGCTCAGCGGCCATGGCTCACGGTCCCAGCCGCTCCGTGGGATCCTCCCGGACCGGGGCACGAACCCGTGTCCCCTGTATCGGCAGGCGGACTCTCAACCACTGCGCCACCAGGGAAGCCCCACATGACTCTTTTTGAATTATGGTTTTCTCAGGGTATATGTCCAGTAGTGGGATTGCTGGGTCATATGGTAGTTCTATTTTTAGTTTTTTAAGGAACCTCCATACTGTTCTCCATATGGCTGTATCAATTTACATTCCCACCAACAGTGCAAGAGGGTTCCCTTTTCTCCACACCCTCTCCAACATTTATTGTTTCTAGATTTTTTGATGATGGCCATTCTGGCTGGTGTGAGGTGATACCTCATTATAGTTTTGATTTGCATTTATCTAATAATTAGTGATGTTGAGCATCCTTTCATGTGTTTGTTGGCAATCTGTATACCTTCTTTGGAGAAATGTCTATTTAGGTCTTCTGCCCATTTTGGGATTGGGTTGTTTTTTTGATACTGAGCTGTATGAGCTGCTTGTAAATTTTGGAGATTAATCCTTTGTCAGTTGCTTCATTTGCAAATATATTCTCCCATTCTGAGGGTTGTCTTTTTGTCTTGTTTATGGTTTCCTTTGCTGTGCAAAAGCTTTTAAGTTTCATTAGGTCCCATTTGTTTATTTTTATTTCCATTTCTCTAGGAGGTGGGTCAAAAAGGATCTTGCTGTAATTTATGTCAAAGAGTGTTCTATGTTTTCCTCTAAGAGTTTGATAATGTCTGGCCTTACATTTAGGTCTTTAATCCATTTTGAGCTTATTTTTGTGTATGGTGTTAGGGAGTGTTCTAATTTCGTTCTTTTACATGTAGCTGTCCAGTTTTCCCAGCACCACTTATTGAAGAGGCTGTCTTTTCTCCATTGTATATTCTTGCCTCCTTTCAAAGATAAGGTGACCATATGTGCATGGGTTTATCGCTTGGCTTTCTATCCTGTTCCATTGATCTATATTTCTGTTTTTGTGCCAGTACCATACTGTCTGGATTACTGTAGCTTTGTAGTATAGTCTAAAGTCTGGGAGCCTGATTCTTCCAGCTCCGCTTTTCTTTCTCAAGATTGCTTTGGCTATTCGGGCCTTTTGTGTTTCCATACAAATTGTGAATTTTTTTGTTCTATTTCTGTGAAAAATGCAAGTGGTAGTTTGATAGGGATTTCATTGAATCTGGAGATTGCTTTGGGTAGTAGAGTCATTTTCACAGTGTTAATTCTTCCAATCCAAGAACATGGTATATCTCTCCATCTGTTTGTATCTTCCTTAATTTCTTTCATCAGTGTCTTATAGTTTTCTGCATACAGGTCTTTGTCTCCTTAGGTAGGTTTATTCCTAGGTATTTTATTCTTTTTGTTGCAGTGGTAAATGGGAGTGTTTCCTTAATTTCTCTTTCAGATTTTTCATCATTAGTGTTTAGGAATGCAAGAGATTTCTGTGCATGAATTTTGTATCCTGCTACTTTACCAAATTCATTGATCAACTCTAGTAGTTTTCTGGTAGCATCTTTAGGATTCTCTATGTATAGTATCATGTCATCGGCAAAGAGTGACAGCTTTACTTCTTCTTTTCCCATTTGGATTCCTTTTATTTCTTTTTCTTCTCTGATTGCTGTGGCTAAAACTTCCAAAACTATGTTGAATAATAGTGGTGAGAGTGGGCAACCTTGTCTTGTTCCTGATCTTAGAGGAAATGGTTTCAGTTTTTCACCATTGAGAACGATGTTGGCTGTGGGTTTGTCATATATGGCCTTTATTATGTTGAGGTAAGTTCCCTCTATGCCTACTTTCTGGAGGGTTTTTTACCATAAATGGGTCTTGAATTTTATCGAAAGCTTTTTCTGCATCTGTTGAGATGATCATATGGTTTTTCTCCTTCAGTTTATTAGTATGGTTTATCACATTGTTTGATTTGTATATATTGAAGAATCCTTGCATTCCTGGGATAAACCCCATTTGATCATGGTGTATGATGCTTTTAATGTGCTGTTGGATTCTGTTTGCTAGTATTTAGTTTTGCATGTTTAACATTTATACAAATGGCATCATTCTGCATGAATCTTTCTACAAATGTTCTTGAGATTTTTTCATATTGATACTTGAGCTTCCTTTATAAAACAAATGTATTTAATTTAGAAGAGTGAGTTGACTTAAAGGAAAACATCAAGGGCACACAAGGATGAGTTGAACTTGGACTGCCAGAGGAACAATGGCTCTAACTCCACTGCCTTCCCCTCTTACAGATGTGAAAACTGAGGTCCGAGAGAGTAAAAGTCATACCCTCAGGTTACTCTGCAAGTTCGGGATACAACTGCGATGAGGGCCCCAGCTCCAAATGCTAGAGGCCAGAGATCTTTTCTACTGTGTCATGTTGGCAAGAACTGTCTCCCTCACCCCACCCCATGGCAACAGATACCAACACTATTTTCTAGCCAGGGTTAGTTCTTAACCTTGAACCGCAGAAAGTAAACTGTTTTTGTGAGTTCATTGTTTGAGAATTAAGCCTGGGATTGGGCTGTGTCATGTGGGGGGAACAAGACAGCTGTCCAGCCTTCAAAGTTATGACAAGGCTTCCACTTGGCAGCCCACCTCGGTGACCTATATTTTAATATGTGCTATTAGATTATTGCTAATGAGACATCTTAGGGATAAAAGAATTATGCTCGCTGCCCGGGCTGTGGTAAAAGTACAATTGAATTAAGGGCTGAAATCGTTTAGGACTCTGCTAGACAACCTGTCCCCCAGGCTGGGCCTGAATGGAGATATTAAGCTTTGGAAATTACACAGGAAAAGTAAGTATAATTGATCTAAGGTAACTTCACTCGTCTAAATTAAATAACGTGATTGTCACAGGCAGAAAGGATGGGGATGAGGAGCCGGACAGAAAAGGCTCACTATCTACAAACAAAGTTATAAGTAAGAGCCGTAGGGAACTGACTTTCCCCTGAAGAGCTGAGCACCCTCCCGATGGCTCCGAGTGTCCACTTGGGCATCAGCGGGACATGGATTTAGTCTGGGCATCATAGAATAATCTGTGGTGTGGCAGGGACTCAGACCACCGTCTTTACCATCTCCTACCTAACACCTGAGCACTTCTTGCTCTCCTCGGCCTCCAGTGTGGGAAGCTCCTGCCTGCTCCAGCCCCCTAGTCAAGCTGTCCAGTGTCTGCGCTCTCGGTTAAAAGAGATTTCTCTGCTGGTGGCCAGCCAGCTGTTTTTGTGTAGCATGTGTCCAGCCACATGAGTCCTGCCCTCTGGAACACCAAAGGTTGGTGCAATGCCACCTCCCTGGAACAAGGTCCCACCCCCTCCTGAGCCACCTTCATCATAGCTCAGTTGTGTGTGCAGTGCCCACCTGAGGCCAGGTCTTGAGCGACATACTTCATTTGCATAACTTCAGAAGACCTGGGCCCCGTCTCCAAGGACCTCATGGGCTGAAGGAGGGAAATAAATTATATTCCTTGCTCTGACCTAAATATTTGCATTCCACCAACTCTTTCATTGATTCTAGGTTATTTGAGGGCAAGGCTGGTCCTGATGCTGTTTATGCAATGGCAGATGCTACCATCACACGTCTGCCAGGCAGGGCCGATCCTGCCCACCTGTGAGGGCGGAGACTTCTCCCCTCCTCCATCCACTCCATCCAACCATTGCGCCCCACTGGCAGCTCCCTTTACCTCCGCAGCTCCTGTCTGTCCTCCCCTGGACCACAGAGCTGGCTGCCTGGAAGGTGAGACTGAGGGCTCCCCACCCCCAATCTGCCCCCCAATATTGCTGCTTATAATGCATTAAAACCCACAGTTAATCCTTTTGTTTTAGCTACTACCCTCTTCAAGCTAGACACCAACTAGTATATGTAGATATAAGAGGCTTCCTTTATCCTTTCTCTTTTTCTTCTCCCGTTCTTCCTCCCTCCCTCTTTCCTTCCTTCCCACAAGTATTTCTTGAGCAACTATTACACATCAGGAACAGTTCTATGAGCCAGGATTGTAATAATAAAGAAAACAGATGAGGTCCCTCTTAAACTCAAGCAGGGGGAAGACTAGAAAGAAATAAACAAGCAACTAAATCAGCTATCAACAGATACT